GAGGATCTGAAAGACAGGTTCATCTTGGCTACAAAGCAAGTTCAAAGCCGACCTGGGAGACATGAGACCACAAGAAGTTTCAATTACTTGGTTAATTAAGTGCAGTGACAGAGACAGAATCCAGGCCATGACAGATGCCGGGCATGTCCTGTACCACTGAACTACCCCCAGACTAGACTGGAAGTTTTGTTTGTTTGTTTATTTTGTTTATTTGTTTGTTTGTTTGTTTGTTTGAGACAGGGACTCCCTGCCTAGCTATGGCTGTTATAGAGCTCACTCTGTAGACCAGGCTGGCCTTGAACTCACAGAGAGCTGCTTGCCTCTGCCGCCTAAGTGCTAGGATTATAGGCATGAGCCACTAGGCTTGGCTCTGTGAGGTCTCTTAACTTCTCTTTGAATGGGGAGGGCAGGCTGAGAAAGAGAAATAAGCAGTTTGAGAGACCACACCTCATTTGCCGTTAACACTGACATTAGAGCCCAAAATTTACATAAAGTCATATACCCGCTGTTCTCCACGAGGTCTACCTGCAGCCTGACCTGACTGACTCTCAGGAGAATCAAAGATTTTACTTTTAGTGTGTGTGTGTCTGTGTGAGTGTAGGTGCCCAGGAAGGCCAGAACAGAGCAGGGTGTCAGGCCTCCTGGAGCTGGAGTTCCAGGTGGCTTTTAGTCACCTGACATGAGTGCTGGGTCCTCTAGAAAAGCAGGGTATACTCCTAACTGTTTAGTCACTTCCCAGGTCCCCCCAAAGAGGAGTAAGTGGAAAATTTCCCTCTCTCTGCTACAACTCTCCCCCCACTGTGAAACATGGGAAGGACCCCTCCCCACGCCACCAAAGACTTGCATCTAAAGCAGTGGCTCTCAACCCATGGGTCGGAACCCCTCGGGGGTCACATACCAGATTTCCTGCATGTCAGGTTCTGACATTACGACTCATAGAAGTCACAAGATTACAGTTATGAAATAGCAACGAAATAATTTTATGGTTGGGGTTCACCACAACATGAGGAATGGTATTAAAGCATTAGGAAGGTTGAGACTCCAAAGCAAACTCATGGCCACGAATTAACCCATCTCACTGCCAAGCAGGAGAACAAGAGCAAAAATCTATCCCTTTATAATCATTTGTGTCTGGGCAGTGGTGGCACGTGCCTTTAATCCCGGCACTCGGGAGGCAGAGGCAGGCCGATTGAGTTCGAGGCCAGCCTGGTCTACAGAGTGAGTTTCAGGACAGGCAGGGCTACACAGAGAAACTCGGTCTCAAAACAAAGAGAAAGGAAAATAAATAAATGAATCATCACAGGTGTCCACTGAGGACTTTGTCACTGCTGCTGGGATCTGCCTTGGCACTATCATGCGTTTCCCAGTGTCTCTGTTTACTCATCTTGAACATCTGGATGGATATTGAGTTCAGTGTCTCCTCACCCGTTCAAACCAGTCTGCGAGGTCACGGTAAATCCAAGGTTGCTGTGTTTCGATAATTTGATAATCGATGATTAATTTCTGGATGACACAGAATGTTCTAGTAAACTCGAAAGGTTTTGACATGTAGGGCTGGAGTCTGTTTTAATGAAGTGACTGATACCGTATGCAGTTCCTATTAGTCATGCACCTGTGCACCGTGTTCACCAAGGCGGCATGAACGTTTGCCGAGTCAATCGATGAGAGGGATGTCCGCAATGGTGTGTGCATGGTTCATATCCCACAACACTGTAAGGGTAGGCAAACAGCTAGACATGGTCAGCGTTTTAGCCAGCGACCGAGCCCAGTGCTCTGTATCTGTAATCACAGCAATCAGGAGGCTGAGGCGGGAGGATGGTGAGTTCAGCCTAAGCTAGACAGCCAGACTCTACTTCTCAGAAATTCCAACACAGCAAGATGGCTCAGGTAAAGGCTGCCAAGCCTGCTGACCTTCATCCCAGGCCCCACATGGCAAGACCACAGAACCAACTCCATCAGGTTGGCCTCTAACCCCGGCCACCTGCTCCCCACCCCACATAAATAAGTAAATCAACGGAACTTAAAAAACCCAAAAGAAGCCAGGAATGGTGGCACACACCTTTAAGCCATATTCTTGAGAGATAGAACCCGTTTGAGCTTTGTGAGTTCACAGTCAGCCTGGTCTACTCAGCGAGCTACAGGCTAGCCAACACTACACAGTGAGGCCTTGTCTTAAAAAGAAAAAAAAAAGTGAGCATGGTGTTGCATGCCTTTAGTCCCAGCATTCAGGGAGGCAGAGGCAGGCGGATCTCTGTGAGTTCGAGTACAGGACAGACAAGGCTACACAGAGAAATCCTGTCTCAAAACAAAAACAATTTTAAAAAATTGCAAAGAAGAGTGACAAGCAGGCTGGCCATGTAACTCAGGGTGTTAGGATATAGAAACCTTCCCTCTGTGGAGTTACTGGCCGGGATGTAACCAGGCTGCAAGCTGTCCTAGTCCCCTTGTCTCCTTGCTGTGGGACAATCACTGAAAACTTTGAGTCTTAAGACAACACAGATTTGTCACCACTGAGTGACTCAGTAGTTTGGTCATAATAGTAATGGATTCTCTGTTGACCAGGGGCCTCCCAAGAGGATGTCTAAGGCAGTGTTTCTCAACCTGTGGGTCGAGTCTCCTTTGGGGTTGAATAACTCTTTCACAGGGGTTCCCTGAGACGACCATTAGAAAACATAGACATTTACATCATGATTCATAACAATAGTAAAATTACAGTCATGAAGTAGCAACAAAAATGATTTTATGGTTGGGGATCACCACAGTATGAGGAGCTGTATTAAAGGGTCGCAGCATTAGGAAGGCTGAGGGCCACTGGCCTAAGGGGTCAACTGAGGCCGGGGACTGAGCTCAGGACAGAACTGAGCTGGGTGTCTGAACGGCCAACACAGGATCACGAGTTCTAGGCCAGCCTGCATAGCCTGTTTAAGGCCAGCCTGGGGCACACAAGATCCTGTCTCAAAAAGAAATACACACATTTCCTGAGTCTTTTCAAGGAATTTTTTTTAAAAGGTGCCAGTGAGAGTATGGGGTGTGTTTTCAGCAGCTTTGGGATTATTAAGGACACACATGGGCACACACACACACACACACACACAGAGACTTTAAAATAATTGAAAAAGAAAACAGTGGTATTTTTACAATTTTTTTTTCCAGTGTATATAGCCCAGGCTAGACTTGGAATCAGGCTTCTCCTACTGGAGATTTGTAAGAGCTGGTGTTACAGGTCTAGTCTTCGTCAACTGGTTCAAAGCACATTGTTCTTCATATGTACATGTATCTATGTGTGCACACGTGTGCAGTACCCATACAGGCCAAAAGAGGCCACCAGACTGTCTACATACAGGTGGTTGTGAGCTACCTGTCATGGGTGCTGAGAACCAAACCCAGCACAAGGACTTTGTTTCACTCAGATTCCCAGCACTGTAACAGGTACCTGGGGAGATCAAAGAGGAAATGTCTGCCAGGGCTCGAAGGTTTGTATGTGCCTAGTGTCTACCCGCCTCATTGCCCTTGGGGCTTGTGGGGAGGTGGTTCCTGTAGCCTCAAGCACGTGCTGGAACAAAACCACTTTCCTCGTGGTCAGAAGGAGAGCACAAGAGAACAGGGTCTGCAGTGTGCCTCAAGGACACTCTCTCCCATTACCTAAGACCTGCCAGCAGGCCCTACCTCCCAGGACCACACTGGCCCGAGAGTCCAGACTTAACCTTTAACACAAGGGTCTTTGGGGAACTCTTGTCTGAACTCTCGAAATTTACATATTAGAAAGCTTTCAAAATAAGAGTCCTCAAAGAGGGTATGGTGGATAACACGGACCGTTGTCAGGTGACAGGATTCAGAATGGCTTCGGGGTCAAACCTCTGGGTGTGTTTGTGAAGGGGTTTCTCGACTGGGTAAGTTGAGATTACAGAGTGAGTTCCAGGACAGCCAGGGCTACACAGAAAAACACCGTCTTGAAAACAACAACAGAAATAAACAAACAAATAAACCTCAACAAACAAATCAGTGATCATGTCGTCCCTGGAGAATAGAGCATTCCCTGTATTCCATTAGCCACACACTGTAAAAACCTGGAGGATGGATGACAATCAATCCTCATCAGATCTGCTTCCTTCTCGAGGCCTAGGTCCAACTGCAAAGCTGGCAATGGCTGGTCCAGCTTTGCTTACCCTTCCTCAGTATGGTCTTGCCAATCCTGCTTTCCATTTCTCTCTTGTAGGACCCGTGGGATGACCTGGGAGCCACCCCGAAAATATCCACATTCTGAGGCTATCGATTGGCAAGCTGATTTCCGCTCTGTCTTCTAAAGTCGTGTTGTCCGCAGTAGACCTTGTTCTGGCCTGGGAAAAGCACTGTACTTACAAGCTCAGCTGTTGCTGCTTGCAAACCACGGTCAAGAAGGGGCATGTAGACTATTGACATTCCCTCACAGGAGGTGGGGTTGTCCGTTAAGGCCTCACCTAAGATCTAGCCTCGTCCTCCCAGCCATCTGTATGCAGTTCTGCCCTAATTTGCAGGCACACTGGCTGAAGGGTTAATTGTACAGAGGTTCCAGTGTGGGCATTTATGGGGCGATGGGGAGACCGTCATCCATGCTGGGAGCAGAACTTGCAGTGCAGTTGCTTTGGAGTCACCCACAGATAAGCCCAACAGACTCATTGGTTCCCAGAGCTTGAATGTCGTCGGTTGACGTTTAAAAAAACCCTTTAAACCAACAACAAAAGATAACGCAGAGAAGAAATCGGAATCAAAAAGAAATGCAAGGGGAAACGCATAGTCTTATCTCTAAGAATTGCGAAATGGAGCAAAACGTCCTCCAAATGCAAAGCAGGAGCCGCAAGATTAATTGACACCATAACCTTCACTCTCAGGCCAGCAGGCCCCGCGCGGAAAGCTTTGCAGTGACCCTGACGCTCGGACCGCCCAGGTCCTGATCAGCCAGTCAGAGGACGAGGGGGCGCGGCCTGACCTGCGATTGGTCGATTGGCGGCGGTCAACTGCGCAAGCGTCCTGGCTTCGCGGCACTCGGAACTCAGCGCGCGTGGCCTCGTTCGTGCAGTCGCCATGCCCGCCGACATCAGCCAGTGGGCCGGGCCGCTGAGCCTGCAGGAGGTGGACGAGCGGCCCCAGCACGCTCTGCGTGTCGTCTACGCCGGGGTGGAGGTGGACGAGCTGGGCAAAGTGCTGACGCCCACCCAGGTAGGGCGCAGGCCTCGTGGCGAGGGAGGCCTGGGGGCGGCGGGGCGGAGCAGGCCGTGCACCCCGGCCTCCTGCCTTTGCAGTCCCAGCTGCACGGCGGGAGCCCCACCCGACAGCCGGGGGCCTCTTATGTAACCTTTCTTAACGGTCCAGAGCTTGCAGTCAGCCCTAGGGAGCGGCCTGCACTTTGAAGGGCTCCAGGGCCAGAGCCTTCCCGTTACCTAGTTTGCTTTTGCGCGTGGGGGTGGGGCCGACGCTCCAGAGCGGCTCCGAGCTCAGAGAAACTGGGTCTAACCGCCACCGTTGGTTATTTAGAGCGCAGGGTTTGGGATGGTGACATGGGAGTTTTCCACCGGATGGACTGTCCAGTCTCCATTGTCTCAAACTTTGTACGTGTCCTTGGGCGCTCTCATTTTCGGAAGGCAGGTTACACCCCAAGTGGCCCCGTGGCCACCACATTCAAAGTCTTGGTGGCTCAGGACCTCAGTAAGGTAGTGTGGGGGTTGGGGGACCTGGTGCCACCGCTGGACTCCTGTCCCACCACTTTCTGTTAATAACGTGGGAAGTGTTTTGTTAAGGCTGGTGTGTGTGTGTGTGTCTGTATGTCACATACAGGGTCTCACGGTGTAGCTCCATCAGGCCTGGGATGGAACTGACAGGGATCCACCTGCTTCTGCCTCCCAAATGCTGGGATAAAAGGAGTGCACCACATCTGGCTTCTTCTGCCTTTTCTGAGATTTGTTTTGTTTTTATTTTATGTGTCAGTGTGTGGATATGTGTGAGTGAGAGCACGGAGCTGTGGCGGTCAAAAGAGGCATCAGATCCCCGGGAGCTGGAGTTGCTGGCAGTTAAGAGGACCCCCCCCCCCAACACTCAGACACAGGGGTGCTGGGAATGTCTGTCCTTTGCAGTTCTTAGTGGCTGAGCCGTCTCCCCCGCCCCAAGCTGCAGGCCTTTAGTAGAGGTCCTTACTCAGGACCCTCCACGCACCTGCTGTTGCAAACTACAGTAGAAAACATGGTGAAAATGCAAGAAACTGTTTCTGTCTCCTTAGTAAAGAGAAAATTCTCATGTTTTACCTTTTAGGAGTATAAGGTGGCAAAGTGTTGAGTTTTGAGAGCATTTCTGGATTTTTAACCCACAACTGGTGCCTTCCTACAGGTTAAGAATAGGCCCAGCAGCATTTCATGGGATGGCCTGGATCCAGGGAAACTCTACACCCTGGTCCTCACAGACCCGGATGCTCCTAGCAGGAAGGACCCCAAATTCAGGCAAGTTGGGGAAAAGATGGGGAGGGGGCAGTCGTCCGGATGTGACAGACCTGGTGGGAGTCCCTTGCTAGACAGGAACTCACAGACCCCCTGGGGTTACAGGGTGGTGTGTAGTGCCGGGGAGGAAGTGGGAAGGGGCTCAGGCATGAAGGGGAAAGACCCCCTCCCCCAGCCACATCCTCAGCCTTATCAACAGGGCCCTCTTGGCACATAGCCTCTCACTTATTCCAGCTTTCCTACTGTATCATCTGCCCATCGTAGTCCAGCATGGAGGGTATCCTTGGTGCACACCTGCCATCTGGTGCTCACAGTCCCTTGTTCTCTCTCTCTCTCTCTCTCTCTCTGCAGGGAGTGGCATCATTTTCTGGTGGTCAACATGAAGGGTAATGACATAAGCAGTGGCACGGTCCTCTCGGATTATGTGGGCTCTGGGCCTCCCAGTGGCACAGGTTGGTAAAGGCTGCTTTTGGGGGAAGGGTGGGAGGGCAGTCTGAGTGTTGGGCTGGCCTAAGGGGGCTGCTACAGGCTCTGTTTATTTCCAGGCCTTCCTCTAAGGGAGACGGAGACGGAAGCCTGCTTGCTTTCTCCTTCGGGCAGGTCCTTTCCAATGTGGTCAGCCTGTAGCTAGCACTCTGGTTCTGATGGGTTGGGCCCTCTGTGGAGCCGTTTCTTGGACTCATGGAGAGATGTGTCTATATATGATTTTTGGTGGTCCTGAAAAATCAAATCCAGGGCCTCAGACACTTTAGGCAAGCCGTCTGTCACTGGGCCTGTCAAGGGCTGCGGGCCTTTAATAGGCAGGAGCACAGAGAACAAACAGGGCTGTAGGAAGCTCACAGTGGGTGTCTGGGGGTTATATGTGAGGCCAACCGAGTTGAGCCCCCTCTCTTCTCTGTCTGATCTCTGCTTTGTGTGATCTTGGGAGTTTCTGATCCTGTAAACAGGAAGTAAATACTATTTTCATACTTATGCCAAAGATTGAGTATATAACTCTCCTTTTCTCCACAAGATGTAGTTGGGTACTTTGAAAAGATTTGGAAGACCATAGTAAGCCACACTGAATACAACACACACTCTTGTCACTGTGTTTACAATGGAAAGTGAGACAGTCTGTGAGAGGTAACGCCACCATTGAAATCTTCAAGTCACACCAGCACTCCCTGGAGCTGGTGGGAGACAGTTACCGCCTGTTGCCTGTTACACCGTGTTCCCATTCACTGGAACAAGGCCACGATGATGATGGCTCATGCATGGCAGAATGCAGATTTCCTCGCACTGTCCTGCCCTGAGGACAGACTGGGATAATGAGTACCCCGTAAGAAGGACCGTGTTGCTCCTTGCTCATGTGGTGTCCATAGGCCCAGAGCTTCCAGATGGTTTAAAGGCCTCTTGAAGGTTCATAAACAGGAGAGTCAAGAGACAGCCCTCCTGGGGACTCTGAGGTTCTCCAGGGCACCCACAGAAGCAGGTGATTTAATTATAGGCAGGAGACACGGGAGTAACGCGATTCTCTGGAGTCGGAGCTGCGCTCTGCTTGAATAAAACCCCAGCAGCTCTCAGGTGCTGGGAAGGGTTAGCGGGCATGATGAACTGGTGGCCAGGAAGGTTTCAGGCAGACAATCTGAGGCACCTATGTCTGGACACCCTGGGAAGACGGAGGCTCTTCCTGTCATCCCAAAGGTCTGGAGGGGCCTTGTTCCTGTCACTGCCCTGTGGTTCAGCATTTTCTGAAATGCACCTCCATGGCTTGCTTTGGCCACCAGTTTCCTGTGGGCGTGGGTAGGTCCTCGGTGTGAGAGTCTTCCAGTTCTGGCTTGGTTAATTAGTATTCCCTGTCACGGCGTGCTGCACGGCTCAGCGTCCTCTCGCTGGTGGCCAGGATGTGGGTGTTATGAATAGAGCCACTGTGTGCCATCTGATTGTTCTAGGCAGGAATTTCCACTGCTCTTGGGCAGATGTCCTAGGTCTAGCCATTGCTCTGGAGTTCTCCAAAATGGATGTCTTAGACTCCGATTAGCCTGTGTAAGGTTTTTATGAATCCATGTGTAATCCTTGCAGCTCTCTGAAGCTTTTTTGGGGGGTGTGACTTCCTTGTCTAGCCCTTGGGTGGATGATGACCACTTTTGTCTTTATATTAAATAACTTTTCAAAAAGTGGTTATTATAAATTGCACCACGGATCCTGTGTGGAGAGGGAATGTGAAATTTTAAAGTCATTTCTTTTGAGAGAGACTTGTTTTGGATGCTCCCCCAAGCCGCCTCCTCCCCTTCACTGTAAAGTGTTGGGATTATGGGTCACAGGAAGAAGTGGGTTTTTTAGTTGAGCTTTTTTGTTTTGTTTTTTAAACATTCCTCAATGTAAATTTGTACTATTTAACTGACTATTGGTGTAAAATCTTGTCATGTGTATAAAAATTTAAAAAGATCCCAAATTAAAAAAAAAAAGTGGTTAAAACCGTAAGATTTGACGTAGTTTCATGTAGCCTCGGGCCGCCTTGAGCTTGTGTTGTTCTTGAGCCAAGTGCTGTGTCACAGGTGTTGCGCTGCGCAGAAAACCAGCCTGAGGTTTGGTGCATCTTAGGCAAGAGTATGGGGTGCGTCCCTGCCTCCAAATTTACTGTGTGGGTGATGCTTGCCTCTCCCTGCAGGCCTGCACCGCTACGTCTGGCTGGTGTACGAGCAGGACAAGCCACTGAGCTGTGATGAGCCGATCCTCAGCAACAGGTCTGGAGACCACCGTGGCAAGTTCAAGGTGGCGGCCTTCCGCAAAAAGTACCACCTGGGCGCCCCGGTGGCAGGCACGTGTTACCAGGCAGAGTGGGATGACTACGTGCCCAAGCTCTACGAGCAGCTGTCTGGGAAGTAGGGGCGCTGCAGAGGCCAGCGGTCCCGGGGAGCCCCACAATATTGTCAAGCTGTGCAAAGCATGCCATTTCTCCCCTTCCTTCCCAGCCCTCACAGGGAGTCCTGAGCCTGCTAGGATAGAGGTTTAGGGTGAGTCTTCTTGCCGCCCATCCTTAGATTCTAGATAGTCCCATCCCAGCCTGTGTTCTGTTAGGCTCCATCCGGGGGTGTTTAGGATTCTGATGGAGTCCTTATAGTGTTGATTTAGGAAGCGCAACTCTGGAAAAGAAGATTTCTGCCAGGACCAGGACCACAGGGAGAGGGCCGGGGCCTGTGTTGTCTGTAAGTGCTTTAACAAGGAGACTCGGTCCAGAACCAGGCACCGTGGCATCCTTTCAAGGGTCTTTCAGGGTCCTGTTCCGCGACTGAGACAACCCAAGCCTCCCATCTCAGCTAAGCCCTGACAGTTCAGCTTGGTCTGGTGGCTGCACGGGTGTTGGTGTCCTGTAGCTCTAAAGGACAGGGCTGCCGTGCGGAGGTGTGGCCCTGAGCGAGACCCTGCTAAGCTCGTTGCTTCTCAGTGCTGTGAGCAAAAGTCACTGGAGTTGCTGGGTACGTTAATCCTGTTTGTCGTCAAATAAAAATAAAGGCATTGGAATCAGACATTCAGGTGTTTTCCTTATTGTGTCTGGGCTTTATGCAGGGGCAGAGTCAAAACCAGCTGAGCTAAGTAATGTGATCTGCTGGCCACAGGGAGGGTCCTGCCATCTGCTCCCTCCAGATGCTTATAAAGGGCAGTGGGAAAAATGCTCACAGAGTCAGATGTGGCACACGCCTTTGGTCCCAGCGCTTGGGAGGCAAAGGCAGGTGAATCTGTGAGTTCTAGGCCAGCCTGGTCTGCATAGGGAGATCCTGTCTCAAAACAAGAACAACAACAAAACCATACTCCCAGGCTTCAGGCCAACCTGGGAATGGTGGATTGGGCCTGTAACCCCAGCAGCTGGGGCTGAGGCAGGATTGTGTGAATTTGAGGTCAGTTTAAGCTATGTAAAAAAATAATAAAATAAAGGCCAGGGAGGTGACTCAGCAGGAAAAAGCACTCCTCACCAACTCTCATGTCCAGGGCCCGGGTGGTGGAAAGAGTAAAGTTGGAATCTTACTTGTACCATGGTACATGGATGCCCAAATGGAATTTTAAAGAAATTGTGAAAGAAAGCTAGGCTTGCTTCAGGCCAGGAAACACAAGTCCTTTCTGGCCAAGGAGGGACATTGTTGCTGTGTTTGTGCCCTTGAGACAGACCTGACCAATAGAAGGGTTTGCTGGTTTATAGTTGAGGGAATGCACAGCTGGATGGCCCACACTTTGGGGGTGGGCCTACCTTCCAAATGGGGCTCAAATTCTGGCAAAACAGGACAGGGAACTGAAGAGCCAAAAGGAAAAAACGCCGTGATGGCAATTCCTGGCTTGGATTATCTTCAAGAAGAAACAAAATACATGTTATCTTTTTATCCTTCAGATAATAGGAAGTCTCAGATGGAAGGAGAAGAGGACCTCCCCTATCAGTGGACTTGGAGAGGGGCATGGGAGGAGATGAGGGAGGGAGGGGCGACAGCTGGCACACAAAGTGAATAAACTGTAATTAATATAAAAAATAAATTTAAAAAATGTAAAAAAAGAAAGAGGAAGTCTTGATACGAACACTGATAAACACTGTTAGGCATGATGCCCTAGAGCTGGAGTTAAGGGGGGTTGTGAGCGATTGTTGTAGCATGGGAAGCTGAGCTTGGGTCCTCTGCATGAACAGTGCGAGCTCCTAACTACTGAGCCCTCTGTCTAGCCTGTTCTATCTGTTGTCCATACCTAGTGTATGCATACACGTGTGCACGCACGTGCTATAGCACACTTGAAAGTAAAATTTGTGGGCGGTGCTTATCTCCTTCCACTTGTGGGTCCTGGGGATCAAACTCAAATTGCTAGGTTTGGCAGCAAGCACCTTTGTCCACTGAGCCATCTCACCGGCCCTAGGCACTTAGTCCCCAAACGTACTACTTTAGTAGTTAAGGTGTTGTAGTTGACATTAAAAAAAAAAAAAAAAAAAAAAGATTTGTTTATTATGTTTAGAATGTTCTGCCGGCATGTGTACCTGCGGGCCAGAAGTCATCAGATCTTATTATGGATGGTTGTGAGCCACCGTGTGGTTGCTGGGAATTGAACTCGGCACCTCTGGAACAGCCAGTGCTCTTAACCCCTGAGCCATCTCTCCAGCCCTGTAGTTGACATTTTGAATAAGTACTTTATTTTACAGATGTTCACACCACTGTGCAATTTCCATTTCTTTGCTCCATAAATAGTACTTCAGCAAATACCTTCGTACATATAGGAAGCTCTCGGCAGGTTTTGCAGAGGGGTATTCCTGGTATTGCAACAGTTATGTGCAAACTGCCCCCAGGAAGACGGTCAGTGGCCAGTGAGTCTCATCTCCACGCTGAGGCCAGTTTTATTAAACTTCAAACATACTTTGTTTTCTGTTTTTCAAGACAGGGTTTCTCTGTGTAGCCTTGCCTGTCCTGGACTTGATTTTTAGACCAGGCTGGCCTCGAACTCACAGAGATCAGCCTGCCTCTGCCTCCCCAAGTGCTGGGATTACGGGATGCAACCACACCCAGCTGAACTTCATACACTTTGACTTGATATTTACATGTATTTAAAATCATGTGCTGTTTTTTTCCTCTTTTATACTATTTTTCATGTGTTTTTCTCTCACTAATTGCAAGATGTTAGATTTTTTAAAAAGTGATAATCAGGGTGAGGTAGGCACCTTGTCTAAACAGGTGTAGGTGAGGGCCAGCAAGATGGATTAGTGAATAAGGTCACTGCCACCAAATTTGATGACCTGAATTTTATCCCAGGGACCCACGTGGCGGAAGGGAAGAACTGACTGTCCAAAGTTGTCCTCTGGGCCCCATGTATGAAGCATGGCACATGTGGATGCACACATACACACAAAGTAAATGTAATAAATAGGGGCTGGAGAGATGGCTCAGAGGTTAAGAGCACTGGCTGTTCTTCCAGAGGTCCTGAGTTCAAGTCCCAGCACACATGTGGCAGTGCACAATCTAGTGCCCTCTTCTGGTCTACAGGATTACATGCAGATAAAGCACCAGCATATATAACAAATATATCTTACAAAATAAAGAAGCCAGGTGGTGGGGGTGGCAGCGGCACCTGCACGGGCCTTTAATCAGGAGGCAGAGGCAGTGGATTTCTGTGAGTGTGAGGTCTACAGAGCGAGCTCCAGGACAGCCAAGGTACACAGAGAAACCCTTTCGGGAAAAACAACAACAGAAATGTAATAACTGATTAAACTGGACCTGATCCACTGCCTCTGCCGCCTGATTAAAGTCCAGAGGTTCTGGGCTGCTCCTTTGTCTCCAGCCTTCCCAAGACCATAGTCTAAGGGTGTGGAGTGAGCACAAGAGTATTAGTGACAAAGCACTCAAGCAGCTTGTGGAAGGAAGGGTCTATCCTGGCTCACAGTTTGAAGAGCTTGAAGGGCTGTCCTCCACAGTCAAGAAGCAAGAATGTTCAGGCCAGGAGCCCAAGCCGCAGCATGAAGCCACCCGCAGTCAGGAAGGGTCTCCCCATCTCACCCTCACTACCAGAGACATGCCCAGAGATTTGTCTCTTCTCTGATTATTCTAGATCCATAATAATAATTAATACAGCCTAGGGGCTCATGGCCCAGTATCACTTAAAATTTTATCCTGTTGTTTTTCTGTGTGTCTTATGTGCCTGCATGCTGGTGCAGTCAGTGGATGACTTGGAGTTGATTCTCTCTATTTGTTTAGCTATTAAACTCAGCTCACCAGGTTGGCACAGCAAGCTCCTTTGTTGCTGAGCCATCTCACTGGCTCACAGTTGGCCCAAAGCCCAGTATTTCTAAGGTTGGAGTCCTGGGATGTGCTGGTCACTCTGACCTCATGTAGAAGGGAATGTGTGCCATGCCAAGCCCTCCAGAATTCGGGAAGCCTCCTCTCATAAACGGAGACCATATCTCAAAAGCTGGGGTAATAACTCGTCAATATTTAAACCCAACAGCACAGGGTCGAAGCCTGTCTTGACATTGGTTCGGTCAGCAGCCTCAGACTTGATTGGAGAAATCCCTGAGCAATTTACAGATCCAAGGGGCCCGGGAGCCTTTTGTAATCTGATTGCCACAAGCTGTCAAGAGGCTCTCATTCAGCTCCTCTCTTCCAAGACTGCTTTCTGGTTCCTTGAACTTAGCAGGCAACTTCCAGAGCTGGCCTTTCACACACACACTGTCATTTTTCCAAAGCCCTCTCTGCTGAAGCTCTGATGATCCTCACAGCACCTTATCTGAATGGGCTAATTCCTGTGGCTCTGTGGCCGTGTTTCCATTGCCATTTAAAGATGTGTGTGCTTATAGGCTCTCCTTCTCTGTCTGTCTCTCTATCTCTGTCTCTCTTCTTCTCTCTCCTTCCCTCTCCGTCAGGGTGCTATGACTCCCAAGGTGGCCTGAAACCTCTGATCTCCCAGCCCCACTCCTCAGGTGCTGGGAATACAGGTCACCTGACTGATAGGCAGTTTACCAACACCAAGGTGAATAGCCATATACATGTGTATAATTTACAGGTAATGTTTAAAAGATAGCACCCTTCATGAAGTCAAGAACTGAGAATGCTGGCTGGAGGTGTGACTCCATGAATCCCCCCCCCCCCAGCACTACAGGAAACAAACAAAACAAAACAGACAGCCTAACAATAAGAGACTGAAGAGTCCAGCTGGGGCACAGTGGTGCAGGCCTCTAATCCCAGCACTTGGGAGGCAGAGGCAGGCAGATCTCTGTGAGTTCAAGGCCAGCCTGTTCTACAAAGGGAATCCAGGACAGCCAAGGCTACACAGAGAAACCCTGTCTCGAGAAAACAACAACAAAAACCAATGAACAAACAAAAAAACCTGAAGTCCCCAGTAGGGGCGGTTACCTCATCAAGAAGTCTCTTGGATGATTGTCAAGTGCACTTTAGGTTTCAGGACTTTGTTATTTGTTTTCTGTCTTTGCTTTGAGACGGAGTCTCACTGTGCAGGCCCGCAGAGCAGACCAGCTTTTCCTACATGTACTTCCGTATCCATAGGCGTTTCTACCAGTCGTTTACCATAACCACTAGCTAACTGGGTTTCTTCCAGCCCTGCGATCATCTCCATTTGAGGGCTCATACCCACCTGTTTCAGGCACATTAGCACATCTCAGGCATCTAGGATGGACACGTGGAATGCACTCAATAAACAGTCGCAATAATTTCCGGTCAAGGATTACCAGCTATGCCTCATCTATATTCCTGACAAACACATTAAAAAAAAAAAACACATTTATTTTGTATGAATATGCCATGGTGGTTGTGTAGAGGTCAGAGGACAACTTGTAGGAGTGGATTTTTGCCTTTCATCATGTGGGTTCCAGGGTTTGAACTCAGGTTGACAGTAAGCACCTACCTATGGAACCATCTTGGCAGCCCATAAACCTGTTTTTATAGTCCTTTAAAACTCAAGGACATTTGCTGAATGCTGGAAGGGAGCACGCCTGCTCTCTGCCATGGTCCTTATGTTTCTTTTAATTGGGTTGTTTTCTGCTGGGGATGGAACC